TTCGTGTCTCTCTTCATTGAGCCGTTTAAAGAGTTGTTCTTCTATATTTTAGAACGAAGACGCACGATGCGTCCGGCTTTAAATTAATAAAGCCACCACAGGCAGCATCCAACAAGAAAAAATAGAGAGTTCAACAGAAATTAAAAGGGGTCGAAGCCCATAGTACGGAACATGCAACCGGCCTCAGCCTGATAGAAAAGATAGCAACTAAAGGAACAAGGTAGCTAGTCCAAAAAGCGCCACGAGCAGGGACTTAGTGTCGGGCTTCAATCTGAATCATGCGAATCCGCTCCATGGCCTCCATCATCCGGTCTGCATCACGCCGTTTCCCCAACGGTATCCATGTCTGTAGAAACAAGTGGCATTTGAAAATAATATCAGCAGGGTGAGCAGGGACCTTGTGTTCGATAGTCATCTTATTACGAGTGGTCCACAGTGACCAGCATAGCGCCCCTACGCATCGCCACAGCACGCGCCCGAAGCTACCTCTATGAGCGAGAAGTATCCCACGTAGGTCCGAAGCCGTTTGGGGATTCCAGTTTTGCGCAAAAGCCTCACGGACGGCACTCCAAGCAAACCGTGCTAGGTGACATTGAAAGAAGATGTGGTTCGCATCTTCGTGCGCTCCACATAGCGCACAAGACCCATCCGAAGGGCCGTGTCTAATGGCAATGTTGTTAGACGAGGGTAGGCGGTCACGGAATAATTGCCAAAGAAACACTTTGATCTTTAGAGGAATAGATGCTTTCATAGCCCCCTAGCTATGTCAAGGATCGGTCCCTCAGTCAGCTTGTTGTAAAGCGATTGGACCGTGAACTTGCCGGATCTCGAGAGGGACCAGGAGACCGCGTCAGCCTTAGGGCAGAGAGAGATACCCTGCAAGGCAGTTAGGAGCCCATCCCAACTTGACCGTTCATGGGCGAGGAGTGGTCTTTTGAAAGCTATGGCAGGAGGGTTAGTTCTAAGCGCGTCGGCCACCACGATTTCAACGTCCGTAACTAGTTGGTAGATGTCAAAGTGGCTTCGCCATAAAGGTTCCGCCCCAAGCCAATGGTCGAGCCAGAATCTCCTGGAGTTCCCATTCTTAACGTAGAACTTGGCCCCAAGTGTGAAGGCCGGCTTAACCGCCTGAATCCCATTCCAGAAAGGCGATCCCTTCGCCTTTGAGGTGAGAAAGTTCCCATCGGGGAAGTATTTGGCGCGAAGAATATCAGCCCAAAGCCCTTGTTCGTTCTGGGAGAGTTTCCATATCCACTTGACAAGGAGAGCTACATTCATGAGTTTGGAGTTGAGGATCCCAAGGCCACCGAATTTCTTGGGGCGGCAAAGCGCCGCCCACTTGATCAGGTGGTATTTCTTTTTTGTCCCAGTCCCTTCCCAAAAGAACTTAGATCTAGGGGTGTCAAGCTTGGCGTGAACTCCATCAGCCAGCAGGAACATGCCCATGGTAAACAAGGGCAGGGAGGACAGACTAGAGTTCGTCAGGATCAGCCTAGCCGCGGACGAAAGGAATCTGCCGCGCCAGGGGCTGACCCGGTTCGCCACCTTGCCGTATAGTGGTTCCCATTCGAGAATCGAAATGTGTTTGTCCGAAATAGGAAGGCCTAGGTACTTAATTGGGAAACTCCCTAGTTTGCAATTAAGTAGGTTAGCAATGCGGGAGGCGCTGGGATTGTCCATCCCAATGGCCATCACCTCGCTCTTCAGAAAATTAATCTTCAAGCCAGAGATGATCTCGAAAGCGAGGAGGATGAGCTTAATCGAGGCTATGCTATGATCATCAGGCTCGAAGAGCAGCAGAGTGTCGTCCGCATATTGTAAGTGGGTGATCCCTCCAGGGCAAAGGTGAGGCACCACACCTCGAATATGGCCTGCGTTCTTGGCCTTGTTCACCATGGCCGAGAGAGCATCGGCAACAAAGTTGAAAATCAATGGCGAGGAGGGATGTCCTTGTCTGAGACCTCGTTTGTTGCGGAAGAAGTTCCCCACTTCTCCGTTGATTGCAATCGCGGTCTGTCCCCCCGAGACAAGTTGCATAATGCGATGAATGAAACCCCACTCGAATCCCTTCCGAGTCAGCACCTCGCGAATGAACTCCCAGTTCACTCGGTCGTAGGCTTTCTCGAAATCGAGCTTGAAGAGCACGGTCGGCTGACGCATGCGCTTAAGCTCGTGAACGATCTCTTGCAAAACTACCGGACCTTCTAGGATGTTACGGCCTTTGAGGAAACCCGACTGGCTATGGTTGATCACATGTTGTGCAACCGGGGCAAGTCTCGTATTGTAAGCTTTGGAGCATAATTTGAAAGGCACGTTAATAAGGGTGATGGGGTGGTATTGCTTGATCGAGTCCGCCCCCTTGACTTTAGGGATGAGGCTAATGACACCGAAGTTGAGGCGCGATATGTCTATTGTGCCTAGCGCAAACCCATTGATAATATCATAGAAAATGTCCTTGAGCGCCGGCCAAAACCACCGGAAGAAAGACACCGGCCAGCCGTCTGGCCCTGGCGCGGTATCGGTCTTCATCGAGCCAAGCGCCTCATCGATTTCCCCCGTGGAGAAGGATAGGGCCAGGCCATCGTTCTCGGCTTGCGACACACGAGATTCTTCCCCCAGAAGTCTGCACGGAGGCGCAGGGGCTTTTCTTCCGATGTTCCCAACAGGTTAAGGAAGAAGTCGTAGATGTGCTGCGAGATTTCGGCTTGACTGACTAGTAGCCCCTGATCCGATTGCAATCTCAGAATCGAACATTTCCTCTTGCGGCCGTTGGCGAAGGCATGGAAATAGCCCGTGTTAGCATCCCCCTTGGTAATCCACTTGACGCCACCCCTCCGGCGCCAATATTCCTCCTCTTCCCTGAGGATGGCAAGCACTTGGTTTTCAAGGGCGTAACGGTTAGCCCAATCCGCTTCCGAGAAGGAACGAGAGTCGGCCTGGGCGTCAAGTGCCTTGATTTCCTCGACAAGAGCTTCCCTAGCTCGTTTAGCGTCACTACCATGGTTTTCCCCCCACCCTCGGAGGAAACCACGCAGGGTCCCGGCCGCATTCACCCAAATGTCCAGAGGACCTCTGGAGCGCCCAGCCGCAGCCCTAGCTTGTTCCCAACGCGCAAGGAGCATAGGAATGAACCCCTCTACCTCGAACCACCCTGTTTCGAAGTAGAAGCGTGGACTACGCTTGATCCTATCCTCCCCAGAGGCCAGGATCAATGGGACATGATCAGAACCAATGCGTGTTTCAGCAACCAGCATGCACATGGGAAAAATCATCTCCCAATCAGACATAATGAAAACACGGTCCAGGACGCTCTGAACCGGGTTGAGTTGTTTGTTAGACCACGTGTATCTAGCCCCTGTCCTAGCAATTTCCCGAAGAGCGCAAGCCGCAATAGCATTGTTAAAAACGGAAACCCTAGGCCAGTCAATGTTGCGGTTATTTTTGTCCGCGACCGAACGGATAAGGTTAAAATCGCCCCCAAGGACAATGGGGATGTTAGCGGCTTGCTTGGCCCCGACCAAGACTTGGATTTCACCTAGGAAATCAGCCGCACGAGAGTGATCGGCCGGCCCGTAAACACAAACGATCGCCCAGGAGGCAAGAGAGACTCTATGTTTAATGGTGACTGAAATGAAGAACGCACCCACATCCCAGGTTACAACATCACATACATCAGAATTACAACCCAGAAGAAGACCGCCCGAGTTGTTCTTCTATATGATCGCTAAGCATGGCCCTTGGCAGATCTTTAGCCCCAAGAACAGAATTTTGTGGCAAAGGCATACGTAAGCCATGCTCGATCTCCCAAACACAGCACTTAGGGCAAGTTTAATCTGCTTCTTTGGAATCACCCCATTTGAAATTTAAAAGGGCACAAATCAGACGCTGCCAACGTTCACATTTTTCACACATTACACAAGGTAGATTCAAGTATGAAGTTTATCCTTAGGAAATTGATTACCTTCCACCTGAATTGTGAAATGTGAGTCTCATTGTAACACAGGATACAGAAATTGTGACAAGTCTCAGTAGCAGTAGCAGTATAGTATGCATTTCATTTTATCCAAGCAAACAAGGAGAACAATAAATTGGTGGAGGCTAAAAAAGAGGTTCTCTACTTTGCAAAGCAAGCATTATACAAATATATACAGCAAAGCAGCAGCAGCTGCAGGCCAGCAGCGACAAGCACCCAGTGACAAGCCAACAAGCACGCAGCATCAAGCACAGACAACACACACATACAGCCGGCAAGGCGGGAGGACGGAGGCATGGCCAGGACGGACTTGGCTGAGTCCCTGTGCAAGATAACAAAGTGAGGCCCTTTGCCGGTTCAAGTGCCAATTAGACCTTATATTTGTCCTAAAATTTCTTCAATGACTTCCTTTTGAGAATTTATAAACTCACGTGTTAATCTTCTCTTTCTTTGGTTTTTCATGTTACAAATACTTTTGGGATGACATCTTAAAACACAAAGGCATGAAACTTGAAAAATCAAACCTGGAGGACGGAGAGCGACCATGGCACAACACCACATAGGCGTGAAAGAAATCCAGGAACGAACGCTTGCCGATGGAGTAGTACTGCTATACAGGTCTTCTCTGAAATTAGTAGTACTGATTACTGACCCTGATTGATGTAACATGTATTTACCTTGATTGCCGGAATTAGTAGATAATGGAGTAGTGTAACCTTCTCTTGCTCTCTCAAGTGGAGCATATGGAGAATTAGTACAGCCCCAAAAGAAGTAAAGCACAAATTAGATCAGATACAAAGCAAAGCAACCTGCTCCCCTTATAGAGGAGGATCTTTTACTAACCAATGCAAATTAGAGAGTGAATCATAGGGATCAACGAATCACTGATGGCTCGTTGATTGCTCGCACCGGCTGCACATGCCCAGGCCAGGGCCTAACCGTAGGAGAGCAGTTACCTTGCCGGCGGCGGTGCGGATTTCAAACCGGCAGGGGGAAGAGGGACCTGCGCCGCCCCGCCGCGGGCTCCATGGCCGACCCGAAAGAGCGCGACCACGCCTCCCCTTGCCTCCCGGCGGTGGCTGCACTCCTTCCCGGCTCCGTCTTCCAGTGCGCGCTGCTCCGGGCCGCTCTGGCGAAGAGCGCGCCGATGAGGGTGTTGTGCGGGCGGCGGGGAGAGTGCCCGGGAGGGTGTCGCGGGGCAGTTCGGCTGAGGATTGGGGTAGCATCATTGTGGGAGAAGGAAGGAGGCGGCGCTGTTTTCCTCGACTCGAACTGGGGAGAGAAAGAAGGACGTTAACCACTATGACAGGCTACCTTTGCTATCTTTTTGAGGAAACAACTCTATTTGGCCCTCCTTTAGTACAAATATTAAACATATAGTAGTATTATATACCAGCTATAAATTATTTGAATAAACAAAACATAAATTTGAAAAGGCATTCACAAAAACCATGAATTGAAGACAAGTTCGCAAAAATGGAAAAAGTTTCTGAATTTGAAAAAAAAAGTCCATCAGATTTGAAAAAATTCAGCAAAGTTAAAAAGCGTTCATCGATTTCAAAAAAAAGTTCATCAAAAATAGAAACAAAAGTTCACGAATTTGAATAAAGTTCATCGACTTTGAAAAAAAAGTTCAACAACTTCAAAAAAGGTCACCAACTTCAAAAAAGTTCATCAACTTTGAAAAAAAGTTCACCAATTTGAAAAAAGTTCATTGACTTTGAAAAAAGTTCATCGAATTTCAAAAAAACTTCATAGATTTTGAAAAGGTTCATCAAATTTGAAACACAAATCCACGATTTTGAGAAAAAAGTTCATTGAATTTGAAAAAAGTTCACCTAAATTGAAAAAAGTTCATCGATTTTGAAAATAAGTTCACGTAAATTGAAAAAAGTTCATTGATTTTGAGAAAAAGCTCATCGATTTTGCGAAAAAAGTTCATCGATTTTAAGAAATAGTTCATCAAATTTGAAAAATAAGTTCCTCTATTCTGAAAATGGTTCATCAATTTGAAAAAAGTTCATGAGTTTCGAAAGATTTAGTTCATGGATTTAGAGAAGAAGTCCATCTATCTGAAGAAAACAATTACGAATTTCGAAAAAAAAAGTAAAAAAGGATAGAGAAAAAAGCAAAAGAAAAAGAAAAAAAAGGAAAAATAAGAACAAATAAATTGAGGAAAACATGTATTTCATCACATCAGGTTAAGTGGTCGAGTTGGTTATATGTTAATAGTTGGTAACCGGTGACGTAGGTTCGAATCCTAGCTTCCGCGCTCTTTTTGCTCTTTCATCTAGAGTTTAAGAAACAGGAAAAATAAAAGTTGGGCCGAGCCCAGGTAGAGCAGCGCCGGTTTGCAGAAACAGCTATAACGGGCGCCTACAGCGGCAAATAGGAAATGCCGGAATCGAGGGCGCGATTGTTTCCCTCGTGCAGAGTTTTCGTTCGCCCTGTTCTCTTGTTTAATAGTAATATAATAGCGTAGAAGTGTAGAAAAATCTTCTAATTTCCTTCCTTCCACGAGACTACTAGCCTACTCCCTTTGCGTCTGAATGATACATCCATTACCCTAATCCCCAAGGTACGGAACCCACAAAAGTTGTCTCAGTATCGCCCTATTTCTCTATGCCCGGTTCTATAGAAAATTGCAGCAAAGGCAATCACGAACAGACTTCGACTGGTAGAAAAAGGGCCTATAGTCCCGTTTCGTAAGGGCCTTTAGTCCCGATTCCTGAACCGGGACTAAAGTGTCGGTACTAATGCCTCGACCCTTTAGTCCCGGTTCAATTCAGAACCGGGACTGATGGGCCTCCACGTGGGCAGTGTGCAGAGCCCAGGCAGGAGACCCTTTGGTCTCGGTTGGTGGCACCAACCGGGACTAATAGGCATCCACGCGTCAGCATTTCTGTGGCTGGGGTTTTTGTTTTTTTAAAGGGGGGGGGGGTTGGGGGTTTTGGGGGGTTAATTTAGGTGTTTCATATATTGTGTTAGCTAGCTATAATTAATAGAGAGAAGTGTCCTCTCTTATGTCCGTGCTTCGTCGACGCTACGTACTATACATACGTATAGAGAGGACTAGACACGCTAGCTAGCTAGTAAGCAAACGAAGGAAACAGAAGATCGTCATGAACATATATGCATACAGAGAGAAGTGATATCGACCTCCTCTCCTTCTCCGAGAGATTGGTCAAACAACAAGTTCTCGTATATCTATCTGACACTACCGGCTACATATATACAATATTTATCTCTTACAAATATAATCATGCGGACTCAGGGTCCACATAGAATTCTCCATCTTCAGGGATCACGTGGTCAAGAAAGAATGCCGCCAATTCCTCTTGAATTGCTCGCTTGTGAGCTGGTGCTAGGAGTTCATCCCGCTTCCGAAACATCTAATCTAAAGAAGGGGGTCAATACATATATATATATGAATGAATGAAACTCAACACAAATGATGGTAATAAAATAAAATTGTGAATGTTGTTATTTACGTACTTCATATTGTTCGTCAGTGTAGCCCCGCTCACAGGTCGTGTGGCGGATGGACTCGCAAACATAGTATCCACATAAATCATTCCCTTGTTCCTGCCACAACCACTTTACAAGAAATAGAGATTAATCAAACTGATAAGCAAGAATGCCAAATGGTATTGATGAAACTAGCGCTTGAATGGCTAGTAGATGCGCTTAAAATGCTACTATAGTACTTACTTTCGGGTGTCTAAATTGCAGCTCCTTCGGCAGTTCCGGAGCTTTTCTGGTGAATTTTCTCCAAACCCTGCCGGACAAAGAAAACAATTACTTGATATATCAGGAAATGAACAAAGTTGCTGATATGGTGGATAATGATCGATTTAATTTACTTCTCGAGTATTTGAGTCATGTCTGCATAGTCCTGGGGATCTTTTCGTCTTGAGTCTAAGACGGTTACTAGTCCCTGCTCAAGCTTAATCTCTAGGAGAATATAGTGGAAACTGCACACGCATGCATAACTCATCAATTACATTACTATAATCTTGACTAATATATAAGGGAAACCGAATACGCACAAGACAGTAACACTCACTTGAAGTTGTAAGGAAAGAGTATTATATCTTTGTTTTCATTTATTACCAACGATCGTAGCAAGTTGGCCTCGGTAGCTGCGGCATGAAATTTAACCTGAGTTGCATCTATGAGATATGTGTTAATGAACCCAAGATCACCGACTTGTCTTTTCTTCAATTCGGCGATCTTCAATCTGCATAATATAGTGAGGATGATTATAAATACATGCAATGAAAGAGCTAAGCTATATAGAGAAACTTAATGACAGAAGTAGTACTACTTACAGACAGTAGCAGGCGACCGTTGTTTTATCGAGGGCCAATTGATTGAAAAACTGATAGAACCCCTCAAATGGAACAGGCAACAGTTCAATTCCAACGAGGTCATGCTCCTTTTTAACTTTCACATACAAAGTACTCCTCCCCCCAGAGTCTCTGCAGATTTTCAAGTACCAATCATGCAATCTTCGCATCATCGTTGATAGAGATCTTTCATCTTTGACGAGAGGCTTCCCGTACTCGTATCTTTGTATCTACATGTCCATGGGTTCATAATGTACATCGTCGGGCAGGTAATCTACAAGATTGCTATAACCGGGCACAATCCTCGGATCATTAGCGACGTTGTGGCTAGGCACCTTGAGCGGGGGGCACGATTGCTTCGCTTGTTCGCCGAGCTGGGCAATTTGTTTCCCAGCTCGTCATTCTTTCAGCCTTTGATCACTGACAGTACTTCCCGACCGCTCCGCTTCAGCAAATTCCTTTTCAATAATGCGCTCATAGTTTCCTTTCGGCGGAGACTTCGGTGGTTTTGTCAGGGCAGCCAGAGTGCGCTTCACTTTCACCAGATCTACCTTCTCCTCTGGAGGTGGATGTCTCTTTGCTCTCAACCCTTGAAACCAGTCATCCACTTCGGTTCGCACGATCTCGGCGTTCTCCTCCGGGGTCCTCTCATATGGTAACTTCTCTAGAGTCTTCAGAGAAGGACCGAATCTGTATGTCCTCCCGCCTCTGGTTGTACTGCTAGACGCCGACCGAGCAGACGGAGCAGTTGTCTTCTTTACTTGCTTACGAGGCGGAGGAGAAGGACTACGACGCACCGGAGCAGCTGGAGCGGCGGCAGGTCTCTTCCGCCCTTGCTGACGAGGCGAAGAAGGAGGAGGCTGGCTGCTTGGGCGCGTCGGCGCAGGCGGAGAAGGAGGCGGAGTGCCGCCACGCGTCGGAGATGGAGCCGGCCGAGGGCCCTGATCGTCACTCGCCGGAGGAGGAGGTGGTGGAGGAGGCGGAGTGCCCTGACTTGCCGGAGGAGGAGGAGGAGGCAGAAGTGTCCAGTTCGGAAGGTTGATGAGCTCCTTCCGCCATAGGCATGGAGTCTTCAAAGCAGACCCTAGCCGAGTCTCCCCTTCACCGGTAGGGTGGTCAAGCTGGAGGTCCTCAAATCCCTCCGTTATTTCATCCACCATCACCCTAGCATATCCTTCTGGAATCGGCCGGCAGTGAAAAGTTGCACCGGGTTCAGTAGGATAAACAGAGCCAACAGCCGCCTTGACCTTCAAATTCATCCATTGTGTCATAAGGTGGCAATTTTGAGACTCCATTATAGCATCCACGGGATAGCTGGCAGGAGCCGTCAAGGCATGCTCCGGCTGAAGCGCTCGGTGGAAGCCACGCTGCTTCTGCGCTGAGATGGCGGGGTAGCTTCGGGGGAAGCTTCGGTAGTACGTTTGCTGCGATTTGCTTCTCATTCCTCTATCGCGTCTACCTTGCTTGGAGCGCCTGCATTTGGGTCTGCTGCACTTTTTTCCTCCTCTCATGGGATTTGTAACTGCCTGCGTCCGAAAACCCAACCTTCCACGGAATGGAGCCTGGCGTGCCTCGTGTCCGTCTAGGGTGCTCAAGATTCCCGAGGGCCATTGTGAGCTCGTCGTTCTCTCTGTCTGGAAAGAACTTCCCTTGCTGCGCTGCTTCGATATACTGCTTAAGCTTCCCGACTGGTATGTCCATTTGATCGTTCGTCAAAATGCACTTCCCTGTTACAGGGTCCAAGGTTCCGCCAGCCCCGAAGAACCAAGTCCGGCAACGGTCTGGCCAACTAATGGTCTCTGGTTCGATCCCTTTAGCAACCAGATCATTCTCAGTCTTGGCCCACTTAGGCCGGGCTACGAGGTAGCCACCTGACCCCGTGCGATGGTGAAGCATCTTCTTCGCATCATTTTGCTTGTTTGTCGCCGACATCTTCTTACTCTTTTCC